GGGGTGGAGCCACGAATGAGACAAACTCAGACCTTTCTTCATTTAAGGCTTTGCAGTTCTTGGAAGGGCTTCCCGACACTGTATTTCTTAGGAAATTGTGAGAAAAATCAGTAATTGGGGAAATGGGGAAAATTATTGTAGTCTCCTATGAGAATTAAGACGTACTCATCACAGAGACCTTATTACTGGTTTGAAGGAATGCACTTTAGTTAAAAGCATCAGCAGGAAATGCTGATACAGCGAGCTGCAAGTTAAGGTCAAGGTTTCCAGAAGTGGGACGAGAGCACATGGGAGAGAACTGTCATGATCTAATCAGTCCGTCCTGCCGTTAGCTGCTGCCGTGTGTTAAGTGTGTATTCCTGGCTCTGTCTGACGCTAATGGAGCTCATCCTTGCAGATAAAATGATGAATAACTTTATACAAATCCTGTGAGTGGTATTCCAAGAAGTAATAAGTTTTGGGAGGAAATTAAGTTCTTAATTGGCACTTTCCACATGATTCTGTTATGCTTACTCAGAGATCTGAATGTTACATCATTCCAATTGTACTGAATTCACCTATGTTTTTCCACTTTTTGAATATTTAAAGGATACTGTTCTCAGGTTACAACTAACCCCTTGGAGATGAAAACCTGCAGCATGAAGCAGAAATTCATGCTGTCCATTTGCATGTATTTTTGAGCAAGTCCTTTCGTACTTCCCAGTATCCTACAGTTCAGCTAACATTGTCGCAGAATCAAGCCCAAGGGGCTTCAACTTAAATTCTGTCTTTGCTTCCCAGCGCCTGCTCCTGCCTCCTTTCCATTTACTCCATGCTCTCATTCCTCTATGCCTTCCCTTCCAGAAACGCCTCGTATGCTTTCTGACTTTTCTTTCCTCTGCCTAGAGTGCTTCTGCATTGCATCTCTGGCCCAGGATACACATTCCTCTATCATGAGCTTCCTGAAGTCTTCCTAGGCCTGTCCTTTGTTTTAGTGTGTAAGGCCAGCCTTTTCATGAAGCCTTCCCAAACCCAAACATCAAAATTAATTCCTTTAGTCTTCCCATGGCAGTGATTTCTCCTCTTTATGAGACAGCAGCTTCCCTGTATCATATTAATACACTCCTTTGACTCCTCACCAGATGTTAAACTCCTTGAGATAGGTTATATCCCTCCAGCTTGCATAATACCTGACAGACAGGAGGCACTTGGAAGATATTTGTTGACTGGAATACACCGTGCAATTACTGAATATGATCCTATTGACTAATTAAGTGGCAGTGAATGGCTGGTCTAGGCATATAGTAGTTGCTGACAGGACCCTAATTCAACACAAATATAGAATAGATGTTCAGTGAATGCTTGATGGTTGAAAATTGGCAACAAAGTCTATCGGTGTTAGCACTAACATTTTAACACCCCCCTGACCCGCTCCAAGGGACACTGCATTCTTTATATCAGGACTCATCCAGCTGGCATATTCTGCTGCTGCTGTTTCCCAGCAGCACTAACTGGCTGCAATTCGAGAAGCAGGGCTTCAGGTGCCTCTAATGCATTAGTTATGCTTGCCTAGCTTATGATTGCTTCATTCCAGCTTGCTACACCCAATATCAGCTTGCAAGTCTTGCTGTTGTTTGAGTTGGCCCCTTTAGTTGTGCTACAGTGGGTGTCCCTCTGGACCCAGATGCCTGGCCTGATCCCAAGACTTTGCTGCTGGCAAGCTGGGCTCTCTGTTTAACCCTCAGGAGGCCTCACAGTTGATGTTGGGCTCCATGCTCACAGAGGCAGTGGAATACACTGAGCAGATTTGGACTTCACCGGTGAACCATGTGCAATTAATTGTTGCTTTACAGATGGTGACTTTAAGCTGGGCCTTGACACTGAGGTGACACTACATTGTTACTGCCTACCTCCCTTGAGTCATGCAGTCTCCCCGATTTGGCACTCAAATTTGTCATAGATTAACAGGTCAATGAACAGTGTGTGGTCCAAGCAGCCCCATTAGGTAATAGCTTTCAACTTCTGTACTGCCAGTGAAATTATTTGACTATGTTCAGGTGTCTCTTGATTTAAATTGAAGTAGAATTTTTCTCAATATGTGACTTGCTATCAATCTGTGTGCAAGCATATAACTGAATTACTCTTATTTCTATTTTAACTAATAGATATATTAGATTATCTAATAAAGTTAAATTAAAACATAATATATGTAATCCTTAAGGTAAGATGATTTCTGTAATCCACACAGAACGTCCTGTCTCAGTGCTAAGAGTGTGACCCCATTTGTCTGCAGGGAAGAGGGAGAAAGAAGGGCACCCGTGTTGGGTGGGCACTTTATGTGTATTGTTTCGTTAATTATGGGAGTCATATGAGATAGGGGGTGTTGTATCCATTTTAAAGGTGATAAAACCGAAGCTCAGACATTAAACATAACAAAGTTGGGTCTCGCTCAGATGGCAAGGGGAGTCTATGTTCCAACGCCGGGAAAGTCTAACTCCAGGCATGTGTCATTGCTTCTCCGTAATGACTGCAAGGTGTGCTCATTATGCGAGGATATTTATAGGAACATTTCCCAGGATACTGTTTTCTGCTATTAATTGTTGGTTGAGTCTCCAATACACTGTGACTTCAGGTACTGTGTAATTTGGGAGATGCTATTTTCTGTGCCTGGAATGTTAACCCAGTTCATTTTCCTGTGACCTCCTGCTGATCTTTAAGATCCGGCTCATGTGTGACCTTTTCTCTGGAACATTCCTTGAACCGCACCTCATTTTCTTTCTTTACAGTTTTCTTTCTTGGATTTAAAAAAAATTAAGAGACATTCACACACATGTTAAGTAGTGCAATAATACAAAAATGTATAGATAGCCTTCTGTTTCTACCTCTATTCCATTTTGGCTTATTCTTGAATAACACATTTAAAAATATCAAACTTGAAAAAATATAATGACCATATACTCTTTATCCAGAGTCACCAATTTTTCAAAAGTTGCCACATTTATCATTCTTCCTCCCTTTCTTTCTCAGCATATAAAAATACTGTTTTTTGAAGCATTTGGGAGCAGGTTGCATAATTCATGCCCCTCTACCCCTTAATAATTTAGTTGTATATTCTAAAACCAAGGCCATTAATCATCATTTCTCTTCAGTCTCCTTAAGTTTGGAACAGCTACTAGTCTTTATGTCTTTCAGTAATATAATATATAGCTTTAAACATAATTTAAAATTTATGTTAGAATGTATATAACAAAATGTTATTAATATTATACTTTTTATAACTTTGAAGTCCATAGTATTATATATGCTATATTACACAATTAAAATATAAATATATAATACATACTACATATTATATTTTATATTATTGTATTATTTAAATGTATAGTATATTAACATTTTATAATATTAAACACAAGTATATTTATGTAATACATAATCTAGAAATATGTAAAGATAAAATATGAAATATAAATATATAATATATGCACATATAGTATACTATCTAAGTACAACATATGCCTGTAATATATAATATTATATACAATGTTGTGTTATGATATATTAGATTATAATGAATTATGATATAATTAGTAAATCAAGATATACCATAATATAAGTGAGAAGATAGTAAGATATGGTAAAATGTAATGTTATAAAATAATATAGAATTGTTATATTTCATACTTTATTAGTAGACAATACATATTAATTTGTGTACTGTAGTAGAGTGCTCTCCTCCTGGGTTGTCCTGTGATGTCTCACGACTATATGCAGGTTGTGTGTTCCTGACTGGCAGACTGTGCGAGTGATATGTCCTTCAGGGTCCCAGACAGAGGCATGCCATGTCCATTTGCCCTTGATTGGTGAGGTTGTTTTATTCCCTCATCAAGATGTAACACAGTGCAACACATTTTTCCGTTGTATAATTATTTTTTAAAAAATTTCCAGCTAATAAGTAATCAGTGAGGAAATGGTTTGGAACCTTGCAAATATCCTGTGCCTCATTAAACTTTCATACCTTTGATTTAGCATGCTTTGATATTTTGTGATGTTTGTTGATCGAGCCACTCTTTACTCATGTGAAGAAGCAAGATGGCTGCTTTCCAACTGCACTATTCCCTCTACGTTCATTAACTGGATTTTTAATGCGAGGCCGAGCTGTCCATTCCCTTCCATTTGCTCCCTGTATGTATACAGGAACTTGTACATGTATGCACCCATCCATCCATATATTTATTATCAATGTGCACTCTCAAATGTCTTTTTTAATGGTTTATAATTTTTAATGTCCATGTTTATTTTGGTGTTCCAATTATCTTGTATTTGGTCAATGGCTCATCACTCACTTCTGTGTCCTTTTGACACGTACCTGTCATTTTTCGAATACTTTCTTCCTGTCTAACAAGCTTCTCTTTACCTGCCAGCTCAGCCCTGCAGTCTGAGTTCTTAGTAGAGGAAGAATGGCTCTCCATTGGTTAGTTAGAGGGCTCTTTGCTGCTGGTGTGTTTGCTTTCAGGCCCTTTCAGTGGCAGAGCGAAGAAATATACCCATGCACATACACTCACACACAGCAGTGAGGAGTTTACACTCATTCCCATTCTTGGCAGAGTTGTCGATCCCTCAGCTCATTTTCCCAGTGCTGTGTGAGTGCCCTAGGCTCCATTCACGCTCCAGGGCCCGAAGACTAGCACAATGTCCTGCACTCAGTCATTGATCAAAAAGCATTTTTGAATAAACCAATACATGAATAAACTATGATGCTGTGAGTTAACCTTCTATAGAAGAAAGGTTAAAAATGAAGTTAAACTTGGAAATCCTGGCCCTTCCTTCCTCTTTTGCTCCTCCTATAAACATATTATTAAATATACATGATAACCAGAGGTGGTTAGTCATGTATTGGAATTTGAAGAACGGCGTGTTCCCCACTTTATTATATCCTACATAAAGCCAATAAATTTCTGTAATGGTTTTCTGGAAGTAATTTTCGGAGGTTTTTATTTTGTATTTTTCAAACGTTCTAGGTGGCTGGAATCGTCGGCAGAGCGGACGTGTTGGCGTGCCTGCTGTTTCTATTGGCCTTTCTCTCCTACAATAGGTAGGTAGAGCTAAGAATGTCCTTTTCTGTGATTACAGTCCTGCTGCCCCTGGGGATTGCTGCTGTGTGCGTGCATGTGCGTGTGCAGACGCGGGGCCTCTGCCTGAGAGGAGGGAGGCTTCTTGGCACTGAAATGCTCAGAGAGCTTCCCAGAGATGTGGCACAGGAAGTCCTCTCCTTACCCACTGCTAGGTGTCCGCTCTTCCAGCTACATTCTGAACCCCATCATCGCCTTTTGTAGGAACTGCCCTCCCGGTACCAGGAAGATAAGCTCTTGCTCCCTGATTCCTCTTAATTGTAGTTTCTTACTGAGAGTGGATTTTGGAATCTTAGCTCTGAGCCAAAATATATGGGATGTAGTCTTCTCTCTTATTTGCCTATGATTTGTTTGATTTTTCCTTTTCATTTTGGTCCTAATTTTTTTTGCTTCCTTATCCTCATTAAAGTAGCTCAGAGCTTAAAACAAGGCTGAATTGAAAGCAGTTTTCTCAACTGTGGTTTTCCAATTTACATATCCTTTCATCAATATACAGCAGCTTCTTGCTTTGGGAGATTGAAATGCAATAACACAATTTTTTAATTATGTTGCCTCTTTCCCCGCAGGGTGATCAGGTTCTCACCTGAGTGGTGATGTAATTGGATGGAGGAAGGGGCAGGGTGAAAAGAACATGTATATGGGGGCAAATGACTGAGGGCATGGCCCTGAGAAAAGGGGCCAGTGAACCATGCTGTCCTCCTTCATGGAGAGATGCCTGGGTAGGGATTCGTGAACCTTGATCTTTGGGCCAGTTCATTGTTCTACACTCTTACAAAGCCCAGTGACTCTGAGGGACACTGTTCTAAACCGGTGATTCCCAATATGTGGCAAATCTGCACCTACTTCCAGCAGGGGACATTTGACAATGTCTGGAGACATTTTCACTTGTCATCACTTGATAGACCAAGGATCCTACAATGTATAGGGCAGCCCTTAAAATAAAGAATCTTCTTCCCCACCATGCCAATAGTGCTGAAATTATGAAACCCTATTGTAAACCAATTTAGACTTTGGATCAAGACTGAAATGAATTGTCTTACGAAGTTTTAGTAAAGTGAAGAGCCTTTCAGTATGGTAACAGTCTTCTATTCCTGGCTTGGTGACCTCCCACAGCATTGCCGCTCATGTGAAAAGGTGTAAAACATCTTAACAGTATAAATCCAAACTCAACAATGGTTTCTTGTTTACTCTGGTGTTAGAACCAGATTGAACTCGTTCTTTTGAGCCCTCTCCGTGTGGTTGATATATTTGGGACATGATTAAGCCTGCAGTGTATCCATATCTCTGTGATAACAGGCCTAGTTGTCCAGGTTTCTAGTGTGCCTGCCATTCCCGCCTTTAGCAACCGAGGCTCTAGACCAGTATGGAAGAAGAGTTCAGACCTTCTGCAAATTTGGCACATAATTTTATGTGACTGCTCCAAGACATAAGAGTCAGGATAAGACATCACAGCCACAGGAATATTGGCCTTTACTTCAAAGGAGCAGGAGCAGGCGGGTGTGGCGCCCACTGAAGACGCAGCTTCTTCCTGCGGGGCTGCTTCCATTTGTGAGATGCAAACAGACCTCATGCTGCTGGAGGGCTCTGGAAAGTCCCTGCTGGAAATCACACTGAGAAAAACCTTTATCTAATAACGTCCTCATGGAGCATTAATTTAAAAATACAGAGTAGGCAGAAGAGAAGAAAAAGCTAAAACATCTGTATTTTCATCACAGAGTGAAAAGATGATTATGTTTTGGGGGCCAAATGTGTGTATGTTTATATATACTGGTATATCTCTACTGATTTGTTTCGCATACAAAAGCATATTAAATACCTTCACTAAAATAATAATGATGATAAACATTTAACATGTAATAAATCACTCATTGAATCCTCCCTCCGACACTGTGGTCCCATCTCACAGATTAGACAATTGAGGCAGAGAGGCAAAGTAACCTGCCCCATATCACCCTACTAATTAAGTGCAGAGAGATAATTTGAACCCAGGAGACCTGGCTCCAGAGTTCATGCATGTGGCTTCGTGTAACCTGTGTTACTCACTTGAAAGATATTCACTTAAACATGTTTCCATGTCACTAAATTTCTCTATGGTAGCATTTTAAATGGCTTTTTAGTGTGCATTTATTATATGCCAGGTTTAATCATGATATTCATATACCTTAAGTATCCAAATCAATATTAGACACTTCCTTTTCTTCTACCTTTGTAATTTTAAATGATTCTATTCTTGAAGAAATCTTTGCTCACCTTCCTACTTAGAATACAATGCAATTGAGGTTAGATCTTATTGTTAAAAGGTGGTGTCTTTTAGATGAGAAGAATCCCAACCATGTCTTTCAGGAGTGTGGACCAGTGCTGCGTTGGGGACTGTTTCCCATCCACGGCTTCTCCCTTCTTCTTGCTGCTCGGTTTGTTTCTGGGGACCTGCGCCATGCTGGTGAAAGAGACGGGCATCACTGTGTTTGGAGTGTGCTTGGTTTATGACCTCTTCTCCTTGTCCCACAAGCAGGAGAAATCGTAAGTCATTTGAATGTCTTGCTATCAAGCAGTGCATTGCAGAGAAGTACCTAAATAAATAGTTCTCAAACTTCCATTAAAATAAGCTATAGCATTTTTGTTAAACACAACTTCACCTTAGACCATAATATAATAATCAAGTCATATTTCATTAAGATGAATCTATTACATATGTTCTAACTCTTCATTCATGCTTTTATAAAAATCAGTGGGGACTATAACATTTTTGTGAGCCCCAAATTAGGAACTGAAAAGACCTATGTTTGTATTAGCAATATCTTCCAGTTGTAAACCACTGAGAAATTTTGATTCACATGGAGAAGTGGTTGTGAGTGGAAACCGTTTGTTAACAGCTCGCCTTGAATCCGTGCGTGAAAATGAGTGTGATCCATCAAAGGGCCCTGCTAAGCTGGAGTCTGCTCTAGAGAGTCCATGTAGTTATCTAAGAGTCTTGGGAATCTCATTTTGAAATGTCACAATGGGCCAGCCTAAACCATACAGGAATACTTACACATCATATTCAAATCAAAGAACAAGTTTATTTAGTAGAGTGGTTTCACTTCCAAAATTTAAGGCACATTCATTTTGCCCTGTGGTCTGTAGCTGATAAGAATGACTAAGGCAAGTTCAAACACATAGTGTAATTTTCTCCCTCTGTCAAATTTACAATTACTAACAATGTGATGACACACAGATCCTGTTTTTCAGAAAATTTAGTGTTCTTACTTTTGAACTTTTAAAAATGTGTTTGATTTATTTTTCTGCCTTGTCCAATGAAGAATCTTGCTTTTTAAAAAATCCTGCCTTTTTATTCTATTCCCTATCTCTTTAAACTTCTTGACATAAAGATAAGAAGCAGGGCTATTGAGTGGCAACAAGCTGAGATTAATCATTAAATTCTGATCACCTTCCTGCCTAGGTGTACTTGGATATCATCCAAATAGAATTGAGTGCTCTCTCGACTCCCTGTGAGTCTCAGAAGGGTGCGAAAGGAAGGAACCCAGTTATTGTTTTGACCTAAGCTCATGCCAAGAAAGCTGGGGGTCAGAGGATCTCCCATTGCTTGAATGAGAATGTCTTTCCCCTAGATCCTCTCAGCTAATGGGAATAATTGCATTGCTCACCTTTTTTTTTTTTTTGAGAACACCCTATCAACCTCTCTTGCTTCCCACTTTCTTTACTTTTTCTTTCATCCTGTTTGCCTCTGCCTCCCAGCTTTTTTCTGCTTTGCCTCACTGACAGGACAGCAGAAAGACGTAACAACTGACTGCAGACCCTCCCCTTTGGTCCAGCCCAGAGCCATTTTAACCTCATTATTGAAGCCATGTCTCTCCTGTGGTCTTGGGACTCTCTGGCCCAGTGTTGCCTATAGTTCATTCTTCTTCATCCAATTTCTTTCTTTTTTTTTTAAATCCTCACCAGAGGACATGCTTAATGATTTCAGGGAGAGGGGAAGGGAAGGAGAGAGAGAGGGAAAGAAATAGTGATGCGAGAGAGAAACATCAATTGGTTGCTTCTGGCATGCACCCCAACCAGGGACCGAACCTGCAGCCTAGGCATGTGCCCCAGCCAGGAGTCGAACCCACTACCCTTTGGTCTATGGGACAGTGTTCCAACCAACTGACCCATACTGGCCAGGGCAAGTCAGGCTGTTTTCAAAGGGGATAATTGTCCCTTTTGTTCCTTTAATACTCTCTTTGACCTCCATCTTAAACTGCTAGAAGTTCTATGGGAGGAATAATATGCTGATAGGTAGCTCAGAAGTTGCAGAGATCATAATCTGTGACTTCTTTTAAGTAACGTAGCTCTCAAAACCAGCAGCTCTGCATAAGCAGAGCCATTCATTTTTTTCCTTCATTCTTCTGTCCACCAATTTAACACATACTCATTCTGTACCTGAGAGATAAGATTCCCTCCCTCAAAGAGCATGTGTCATAGTGAGGGAGATAGACATTTCATAAGTAACTACACGAGTAACTGATTACAGCTGTGAGTGTGGTGAGACAGAGCCCAGAGGATGTAACAGGGAGACCTGGCCCGTGATGGTTACTGTCTCTTGAGTTCTGACCATGTGCCAGGCATCACGTGTGCCAGGCTATTTACAGGTATGAAGCTGCACAATGCTCCCAACTGTTGCCCTCACTTGACAGAGGAGAAAATAAAGGCACAGAAAGTAACCTCTCCAGAGTCACCCAGCCGTGAGAGGAGCCAGGATTAGGACCCCTCTCCTTGTGACTCCAGAGTCACAGGGCTGCCCCTGAGCACCTTGGCCTCTGTAAAAGTAATACCTCCCTGAACACCTGCTGCTCAGGAATTGGCCTCACATTCGTACCATGAGACCAGCTCAGAGGTTCTGAGTGTCCTTATTGGGGGTTATGACCCCTTTGAGAAGCTCACCAAATTATGTCCCCTTTCCCTAGTATAATGTACACACACGGTTTTACACAAACTCTTAGGGATCTGCCCCCCACTTTATTTGCTCATTTAGAATCACTAGGTTGTTCTAGAGGTTTTTCCTTGTATGACTTGGGCAGCAGGAAAGAGACAGTAACAGAAACAAATGTTGGAAGCACTTTCCTACATGAAGAGCAAATCATTTCTAAATTTGAAGTGGACCACACAAATGGGGTGGGATTTCTTTTATTTGATATCACCTTTAGGAAGTAATAAGTTTTAGTGAAAGAGGAGCTCCTGAAAATTAAATTCCTTTTTCTCTTTATTTTTTAAATATTAGGGTATAGTTTCCAACATGCAGAGATTAGCATTCCCTGACCCCAGTCCCTAACCACTTGCTTTGCTTTTCATTTAACATTAGGCATCATTGTTGATACAGTAGCTATAGTTTATTCATTTGAACTGTTGTATGATATTTGATTATCCCAACTTATTTATCTATTGTTATGCAGTTGGAAAATAGATTATTTTCACATTGTTTGCTTTTGTAAACTAAATTTCAATGGAGTTCCTTGTGCAAATGTGGGACTCTCTGGGACACACCATAGTGGAGCTGCTGGGGCCCCAGGTAGGTGTGTGTTCACTGTGTCGTCACATGTCGAGACACAGCCCTTGAAGTGATCGTAGCAGTGTCTCAGGGCCACTGTGTTGCACACTGTCACCATCACTTGGTAGTGTCAGGCTTTTTATGTTTTGCCTATCCAGTGGTTATGAATTTATATATATCTCAGAGGACTCATGAAAGAAAAGTGTAGTCACAGTACTTTGTGGGGATCAGCTGTGTTTTATAAGACCATAATTATGCAAATGCTTAATACTACTTCGATCAAATGTTATGAGAGAAATGTATTTGGAGAACGAGGAATGAAGAACAGGGTGTGTGTCGGGGGGGTGACTATGTAAGAGGGACAGAGTCCTAAATTTCTGTATTAGGAAGTCAGTGTACTAAGTCCTAAAATCAAAAATACATTATAATTGTGTTATTTTTAAAATACTATGATTCATATCAGAAACCAGAGCTAAAATGCTTGAGGATGGTTGCTTTCAGGAGCAGGACTTTGGGGTGGGACAGGGGATGGCCATTTCTTGTTGCCAGCCTTGTCATTTGTTTGACTTTGTTTAGGAGCAATGGGGTCATCCATCAGCGCAGCCCACAGCAGCCTGGGAGCCCCCAGCCCACGTTGCTGCCAGCACACCCTCTCCGGGAGAATGGGAAGCAGCAGCGCTTTCCTCACAGAGGAGCTTGGAGCGGCTGCCACTCCCCATTGCCACCAGAACCCAAGAGCAGTGGCTTCCCAGCGTCTCCTCGAGCTGTGTGGTCCATGATGAGGTACTGGGTTGGGCTTATAGACTGTGCGTTTTCACCATCCAGCATCACCCATGTGAGTTGATAGGAGAACTGAAGGCCTGAGTTGGTTCTTTTGACCTCCCCCTCTCTCCTGGTTTCTCTGCCTCCCTCTTCCCTTCCCTTCCTCCCTCCCTTCTCCCTCCTTCCCTCTCTTCCCTGTATTAGACCAGATAATAAAGGAGTAGCTAGAAAAAAAGCCCTGCTATCTGCTGTTGCTTAAAAGCAGGGGGTGTGAGTGGTGGATCTGTGAAGACTCAATTAAGAATAAACAGTTTTTTTTTTGTTTTCCTGGTGGAAGAAACTTGCGTTGGTTTTCTGGGGGAGGAGAGAGCGCTCGCTCCGCCTGCTCTCTCTCCTGCTCTTTGTGTGTGATAGGAATTTATGGCAGTGTGAGTACGGGAGAAAGCCAAGGGACTCTGCCTATCTGAAATGTTTTGAGGTTGTGGGAAAATCTTTAAAGCATGAGATTTTCTTTCTTTTTAAAAATATTTTGACCTAGCTATGAAAACTAACATAGATTTATCAGAACAGGTGCTCACTAAATTAGATTGCCTCTAAAATAGCACAAGCCATGGGCAAGACAGAATTTAATAAAGATGGAAATTCAATTCATACTGTTACCACTTTATTACTTCAGACTGCTGTTCTTATTTTTCTGTGCAGTTCTAGAAAACTCCCTCTTTTTCAGGGTCTTTGTTTCTCACTATTCCCACCTTTTCCTTGCTCCATTCGTTCATTAAATATCTATTTTAGATAAAATACCCATTGAGTATGTACCACGTGGCAGGCACTATTCTAGGTACCAGGAACGTCCTGGTGAATAAGGAAGACGAGGTCTTTGCTCTTGCAAAGCTTTCTTTCTAGTAGGAGAAGACGGAACTGAATAAGCAACAATGAATGAACAATGTGATGGCGAAGGATGAGGGGGCCTGGCCAGGGCAAATTTGCATTGGTTGGTCACAGAAGGCCCCCTGCATCCTCCTGAGTGAGAGGAAGAGTTAGCTCTGCAAAACCCTCTGGCCAGAGGGTTTCCAGACTTGGGCTAATGAGCAAGTGGGGATTGGAAAGGCAAGGTCATGGGGTGGGCAGGGCCCAGAAATGAAGGGTGGTGGTAGCCACGGAAGCAAGTTTTAATTTTAATCTTAGTGGAATGGAAAGACTTTGGAGTTGTTGTTTTTTTAATCTTAATATGGTGAGAAATGATTACATTAAACATTCTGGCTTCGTCTTGGCATATGATGTTGGGGACAAGAATAAAGCAGGGGAGGGGTTAAGAGGTTTTCTACAGACTGAGGGAGAAAGAAGGCTGTTGGCTGAGGGCGACTGAGACTGGGGTGAATAGATGTGGTGGGCGTGGGATATCTTTTGGATACAGATCCACCATGGCTTGCTGATGTTTGAGGTGAAGGAAAGGAAGGAAACAAGGACTTGGGGGTTTGGGGCTTAAACAGTTGGGTGGGTGGTGGTGTCAGTTCCAGAGATGGAAAGTCAAGGGGAGAAATAAGTTTTCTGAGGGCTGGGGGTAAGATAAAATCATAGTAGTATATGAAATTCTTTAGAAAGAAGGGGATAAACAGTCAAAACATTGGGGAAATCTTGACTTTGATGGGGGGCATGGAGGAGAGGAAGATAAACATTTCATTTGGGGAAATTATAAGTTGTTTTTAAGGGAGCAAAGGAGGAGCAAAGAGAGTTAATAGAGAGTTGTAGGCTTTCAAGGCGGAACAAAGTCAGGCTGGAATGGCTGTGATTCCTTGAGGGCATGTTCATGTTCGCTCATGTCCCCATCTCCAGTTCCTTTCACAGTGTCTGGCTGATAGTTGCACGAATATTTGTTAAATGACTAAATTAATGAGGTGATGGTGAAAAGTATTGGAATTAAGCATGCATAGAATAGATTCAGTAAATTTGGCCATGAAAGAATGGAGAAAAAGGATGGAAACTGGAGGGGGGTTAGGTTTCCGTTCTTATTTTTATTTTAAATTTGACGGACAGGGGTCTATATGTGGTTGACTTGTGCAGAGTAGAGATGAAAGGTGCTGGAGCAGAAAGGAACGTGATGAAATATGAATACCAGTGGTGTGCTGGTGAATGTTTAATAACTGGCTTCCAAGGCAGCGCGGTCCTGACTTGTGTTTGCCAGTTCCCATGTGAACCACTCCTTTGTAGTTTATTTCAGCTACAAACATGACATCACGGAGTGTGGCGTTGGGGGGGCCATGCTGGAGCCCACCATTGTTCAGTGTTTCCACTGCCTGGTAGACGGCAGATGTAAACAACCTCACGAGCACAGATGGCAGTAAAGTGGCATAAACTAGTAGGCAGTGATGAGGTCTGAGTATTGATCACCTGTGTTTTTAATAATATTAACTTTAAGTTAATATAATTTAATTTTCAGCCTTGGCTGGTGTGTCTCAGTGGATTGAGTGCCAGCCTGTGACCCAAAAAGTCGCTGGTTCAATTCCCAGTCAGGGTACATGACTGGGTTGTGGGCCAGGTCCCCAGTTCAGGGCATGCAAGAGGCAGCTGATCAATGTGTCTCTGACACATGGATGTTTCTCTCCTTCTCTTTCTCCCTCCTTTCCCTTCTCTCTAAAAATAAATAAGTAAAACATTTAAAAATATATAATTTAATTTTCAGTGATGGCTATAATTAATAACTGGCTTGCAAAATACCTAAAAACTTAATAGTTATTTCTTGCAAGCCAGCAAGTCAGCCATCACACACCAGTGAAGAAGATCCTTCCAGAGGAGGAAGAATGTTTTGTATCTGTTATTCATCTACTGGGTACCAGGACTGGGCTAGTATTTCCCATACAGCATCCTATGCAACCATATGCAGTAATGCATTTAATGTAGATATTTTAGTTCCAATTACCAGAGGAAATGGGAGATCTAGAGGTTAAAATACCTTGTCCACATTTACACAGTAAGTGGGAAAGTCAGGGTTGGAACTCAAGCTGTGTGACCCTGTGCTTTGCCCATTTTCTGGACTCGGAAATCCATAGTCCTGGGCAAGGGCTTTGCTCTGGGGATGAGGAGGACACTGGCATCATTCTCTGGGGAGCTGGCCTCCCCGTTGAAATATCGGGGGTAGACACATTCATGCAGCCATCCTAGCATTCAAAATTAGGCACTTCTTGACTTGCTTTAACATATGGTATTGGTGCTAATACATTTAATTAGATGACATGCTTTAGTAGGTAATGTTTTATTCCTTTTCCACCCTGAGCCCCAGGCTATTTTAGAAAAAAAAATGATGCCTGGAGAGCAATACACAGCACAGCTGGAACTGGGTCAGAGTCTTGCTAAGTTAACCTGTTTGTAGGCGGGAGGACCATCATCCCTCCTTGAGAAGGAAAATTATCAGATATTTTCCCTTTTTGGAAAGAAACTGGGTTATATATTGGAGTATAAATTTAATCGGTATTAAAATTAATTTTGAAAGCTATGCTTGTTTTGTCAGAAGGTGATCAGGTAAAGCAAATAAAAGTTCAAAAAGGCAATGTTATCTTACTTCTTAAGATCTCCACAGGCAGTGGTTAAATCACGGCTTGTTCGCTTACTTGATCCTGGACAAGTTATTTTATCTCTAGGGGCCTCAATTTCCTCACCTCAAGAAGAGGGGAGTAATAGTGGTACCTTACTGTCAGATTGGCAGTCAGGACTGAGAGCTCTAGCACATGAAATGATCCTATAGGTAGGTGCCCGGCACAGAGTAGCCGTCCAGTGCATGGCAGTCAGCAGCATCATTATTGGCTGTTTAGTGTTATGACTGGTACCATTTCTGCATGGGTTTCTGAACACCATGGTGCATCGTGAAAATGGTACATCTTTAGTGTGTAGGCAGGGAGTGAGTTTGTGTGGGATGGGGTTTTTTTTGGGGGGGGGGATTGAACACCAAGATTATCTGCTATTATGTGTTTGCATTGCATGGATGGCATTCGACTGACAAAACGTTAGCCAAATACCATCAGGTAAAATGTTTTCAGAAGTTACCATACATAGGGAAAAATCCCACCCCAGGGAACAATCCTACTGCAAGTCATTTATTTAGTTGCCCATTTTCTGGTGTGACTTAAGTGACTGGCATGTAGGTAGAAAGTGCAATGAAAAACCTAGGACTTAGGATATATGCTCTGGAATTTGATGAAATTTCAGTTGATACTATCTTTTACTCAGTTGCTCCATGTGAAATGAGAAATGTTTGGTATGTAAACATTCCTTCTCCCTACCTTCTTCATTAAATCAAAATCATTCAAACAAGTGCCACTTCCTCTTTTACATTAGAAAGCTCAGTGAGCTCTGCATGAAATCATACCTTCAGAACTCATGTATATGGATATGCCTGTGTATCTAGAGTGTTTTTTCTCATGTATACTTCATTGATTTAATATTTAAATAACAGTGATCATAATAGACATAGAGTTCTTGCCTCAAATTCTTGCTCATTTCCTTTGTTTTCTGCTACCCCATGGGGTCTGTCATGAACCATTCATTCAACTATATTTGCTGAGCACCTACTATGTTCCAGGCACCATTTTTGGCAGAGAAGTAAACAAAGCCCTGCCCTCATTGAACTTAGCTGGATGACAGTTGTGGTATTTTTACTTAAAATGGGCTCACGTTTGTGGGTGAGACAGTGGTTAGATTTTTTACTTTGGTGGGCATTAAAAGTTTTTCTTGTAAATACCTTAGACGTAGGCATGCAAATCCAGAAACTAAGACAGGTTTAGGACCAGAGAACAACTTGACATGAAAGGGAACCTGTGAGGTGATTAGAGTCAGGAGACTTAGGGAGGCATTTAAACATTTTGACTTTGCTGATGGAGTGGGTAACTGATATTTTAGGTGCTTTATTTCTGTCGACCTTGCATTACACCCCTTTTCCTCAAAGTAAGCAATGCTGTGCGGACTGAACTCCTGAAGTGGGATTTTGAACTTTTATTTCACACATAGGATTCTATGAGTGGGGCAAATGT